GACCAATGCCACCAGCGCCAGCAGCGCAGAGCCATGGCTGAGAACAGCAACCGGCGGGCGGAAAGGCTCGCAGTGACTCCTAGTGCTTAGCGCCGGTCTACAACCCGCCGGGGGCTGTCCTCTGGGCCCGCCCATCACTGTGGCCCCGCCCTAAACCTCGCCTCCAGCACGCTAGGAAAGCTCAGCTTCGGTACTCCACTTCGAACTCCGGAAGAGCCACGCCCCCAAAGAGAGCCACGCCCCCAGCTCCCGAAGTCACGCCCCCGGTACGGCCGAACTTCAAAACTTAACCAATTTCTCCCCAGTCTTTCTTGTCGCTGCAGATACCGGAAGTCTAGGATTTAAAGGAAAGCGAATCCTCAACGCCGTTTCAGTTACTTTTGGAAAAGAGAGCCAATTAGAAAGGAGCTTACTTTACGTAAACTTGTCGCTCGCTGATGACGCAATGTTCTGCTGCCGTTGCCTTTTGATAGGGTATCGTCCTTCTTGAGTGACTTTTGTCCCAGCCAATCAGGAGCCCAGAGTCCGGACGTCTCCACTATCCTACTTCTAAGAGCCCCTTATTTTTAGTCTAGGTGTTGAACTGGTGTGGCCGCAAAGAGATACTGTTCGTGTCAGACCAGGGAAAATATTAACCTTCAAACCCGTCCAGCAACACAGGGATCGGGGTGAGACAGTATCTTAGATGCAGAATTTAAGGGGGCACCCAAAAGCTCAGTAATGAAGGTAAAACGTTCATTTTTTTTTTTTTTTTAAGACAGGATTTCTCTGTGTAATAGGCCTGGCTGTGCTGGAACTTGCTTTGTAGACCAGGCTGGCTTCGAACTCACAGAAATCCGCCTGCCTCTGCCTCCCGAGTGCTGGGATTCATGCAGTTCTAATTTATGTTTTAAAAGAAGATTGATTCAAAACCGTAAGCAGTATCTATTTTTAAGTTTTCATTACATTTAATTATTTTATTACATTATTTATGAGGGCCGGTGTACACGTGCCACAGCACTCACAGCTCACATGGTATGTCATCATTGGACAGCTTGCAGGAATTGGTTCTCGCCTTCCACTATATGAGTTTTTGGGTATTGAACTCATGTCTGGGCCCAGGGGCAAGCTTCTTTACCCTCTTGCTGACCCACAAATATTTTCTACACAAGGACAGGAGCTAAGGATGGTAGAGTGTCTACTCAGTGTACACAACACCATGGTTTCAACCACAACAACAAAACTATAATTAAAATAAGGGCAGAATCCATGTCACCTTTAACCAGATAAGCTTAGTACTTCCCTAAAGGTTCTTCCCCTTCTTGGAAGACTAACCCTTTCTGTCATCCCCACAGCCTCTAACTCTTGTTTGTTTATTTTTGTTGAAGATTGAACCCAGAGACTTATACAATCGCTCTACCTTTTAACTGCACCCCTTGCTCCTGGCTTAATTTTCTATTTCATAATTCAGCAACGAGGCTAGTCTGCGCTACAGAGTGATGCCTGGTCTCACAAACCAACATGCTATTTCTTTTGTGAAAGGTAACTAGCAGTGGGAATGTCGTGTACAGGCTGGACTGGCCTGACTGTAATCGGGATTTCTTGGGCAAGATAAATGGCTAGGTTTCAATTTGGTGAACTTCACTGTGAGTGATTCCATTTTGATTTTTATTATGGTCTGTTGGAGCATTGTGCAGGAGCTTAATCTAGAACAGAAGCTTCCTCTGTTTTATATTTCATACCATTACACTATTTTAAGATTATTTTTAGCCAGGTGGTGGTGGTGCACACTTTTAATCCCAGCACTGGGAGGCAGAGGCAGATGTATCTCTGTGTTTGAGGCCAGCCTGGTTTACAGAATGAGTTCCAAGACAGCCAAGGATACACAGAAAAACCCTGTCTTGACTATATGTGTGTGTGTGTGTGTGTGTGTGTGTGTGCCAGGCTTTGGTGGTGTATGCCTTTAATCCCAGCACTCAGGAGGCAGAGGCAGGCAAATCTCTGAGTTCGAGGCCAGCCTGATCTACCGATTGAGAGCAAGGATACACAGAGAAACCCTGTCTCAAACAAACAAGCAAACAAGATTATTTTTTAATTGAAACATACAGAAAGTGCACACATTATAATTATAGTTTGATGGGTTATGAGCCCTAGGTGTAATGATGTGACTGACACCCACATACCAAACCGGAACACAGTGAGAATCCCAGGAGTCCTCTCCCTGCAAGTCACTCCCCCAACTCTCTTATGTAAATATTATTCTCTAATATGTCATTGTATTTTAAGTCCCACAAGACCAGTAGGCAAGCCCAGTGCTGCCCGCAAGCCTATTTTGTGTGACAATATATATATCTTCACAACCACCAGAGCTGAAGTTGCTGGCAGTTGTGAGCCATCTGACATTGGTGCTGGGAATTGAACTCTGATCCTCTGCAAGTGCAGCAAGTGTTCTTAGCCACTGAGCCATGTTAAGTGGTAACATATTTAATATTTTGTGACATGAAAATTACTTGTTTATAAATAAAATTTTATTGAGGCACTACCATGTTCATTTTTTTAAAAAAAACACATTTTTTATTAATTCTTTGAGAATGTTATACAATCACTCCCTATTTCCCTAATCCCTCCTAGATCCACCCCAATACCGCAGCTTCATGTCCTGTTTTTTAGTAACCCACTAAATTCAGTTTCTGCTGCCCATGTACTCTCGGCCTGGCCGATCTACTGGGGGCTACACCCTTAAAGAAAACTGAGCCACCCTTTCACCTCAGACAGCAGTAGGGGCTTGGAAACCCTTCTGCCCTTGTGACTCACCCTTCCCCGGAAATCTTTAACTGTCTGTCGAGCCTCAGATAGCAGCAGGGGTTTGGGAACCCTTCTCCTTTGTGGTAGTTTAAATTAAAAAGGCTCACAGGGAGTGGCACTATGAGGAGGTGTGGCCTTGTTGGAGTAGGTGTGGCCTTGTTAGAGGCAGTGTGTCACTGGGAGCGGGCTTTGAAGTTTTAGATGCTCAAGCCAGGCCCTTCCTTTCTACTGCCTAAGGATCCAGATGTAGCATTTAGTCCCTCTCCAGCACCATGTCTGCCTGTGGGTGCCATGCCTCTCACCATGATGATAACGGCCTAAACCTCCGAACTGTAAGCCACCCCCAGTTAAATGTTTTCCTTTAAAATGTTGCCATGGTCATAGTGTCTCTCCACAGCACTAGAAACCCTAACTAGGAGGCCTGTCTATGCTAGAATTTTTGCTGGCTTGATCTTCTGTGAACAACCACTGGCTGCTCTGAGTTCTTGAGCTCAGTGGTCCTGTCCAGAAGATGCTGGTTTGCTCTGATCTTCCCCACCTCTGGCTCTTACAGTCACTCTGCCCCCTCTTCCACAATGGTCCCTAAGCCTTGGGGGCATGTTCGTATGGCTGTTTTTAACACTTTGATGGCATAGTTGAGTAGTTGTGACAGAGATCATATTGTCCACAACACCCAAAATATTTATCTGGCCTTTTTCACAAAAGTTGGTACCCTACATAGGACTGTAGGCTTCATAAAGGTGGTAGGCTGCAGGGACAATCTCATTCACTCATTCCCAGAGCATCACACAGTGCCTAGCATCCAATGAGTACTCCTGTGGGGTTTATCTTTCTAGTTATTTATTTATTTATTTATATTTATTTATTTATTTGCATGTACATCTTTATGCCAGAAGAGGGCATCAGATCCCACTATAGATGGTTGTGAGCCACCATGTGATTTCTAGGTATTGAACTCAGGACCTCTGGAAGAGCATTCAGTTCTCTTTAACTGCTGAGCCATTTCTTTAGTCCCCCTCCCCTTTTCTTCTTTTAGATAGGATCTCAGGTAGCCCAAGCTAGCCTTGACTTGTGTAGCTGAGGTGAGGATGACCTTGAACTCCTGATCCTCCGGCCTCTACCTCCCAAGTGCTGGGAATTACTGGCGTGCACCACCAGATCTGGCCTATGCAGTGATGGGTGCTGACTCCAGAGTCTACTGCATGGTAGGCAAGCTCTCTACCAATTAAACCTCAGCCTCAGTCCCTAAAGAATTTATTTTAATGATAAAATCACGAATTGTTCTGGCTTGTAGAAGAAAGAGATAGAAATCCAGGCTCAGACACCCAGAATCTCTGCAGGGCTTCCCATTCCAAAGCAGAACCTAGAAAAGTCGATAGCATGGATTCTGGAGTCACTGAGTTCAAATCCCGAGTCTGAATTTAACAGTCATGATATGGAGAGGTTTCATCTTAACTTCTTTTTCCTCCTTTTCTAACATGAGAAAAGAATTATTCTAACCTGTAAAGATTAAAATTAGATGCAGATTAAAAAAAAAAACCTAGCCTGGCCTGGTGGAGCACACCTTTAATCCCAGGACTTTGAAGTGGTTCTCAACCTGTGGGTCAGGACTTTTGGGAGTTGAACAGCCCTTTCACAGGGTTTGAATACCAAACATCCTGCAATCGGACGTTTACATAACAGCTCATAACAGTAGCAAAATCACAAGAAGTGGCAGCGAAAATAGCTTTATGGTTGGGGGTCCCCACAACATGAGGGTCGCAGCATTAGAAAAGTTTAAAACCACTGATGTAGAGGCAGGTGGAGCTCTGAGTTCAAAGCCAGCCACCAGGTGAGTTCCAGATCAGCCAGGGCTATATAGTGAGACCCTGTCTTAAGAAAACAAAACAAAAACAAAAGAAAAACATCCATCTGTATGTGGTAAGCAGACATCAGCTATAATTGTGGTCACCAGTGTTGTCCCTTCCCATATACTGCTCTATATTAGACCACGGGGTGCTCCTAAGTCCTGCGGGTACTTTGGGGTTCCTGATGCTTTTTCTTAGTTCTGTATTCCCAGCCCACATCCTTAGAGTAACAGATGATCAGATTTTGAGGAAACTAAGTGACTTGCTCCTACTGGACCCATAGAATAGTCAGGTCTGTCACTAGGGCCTCTAGCTGCTGTCCTGGAATGTACCCCATTCAGGCCCAGATCAATAACAATGAGTCACTGGTCATATATTTGGGTAGTTTTAATCGTTAGCTTTCGGTATGCCGCCAGGACCCTTTCCTGACATTGCATTTTTTCACAGGAAGAATTTGCAGTTTGATGAATCATACTCTTAGACCTTAGGTCTCCTTCTGAACTACTAATGCATTTCAAATGAGCAGCAATGATACATAGCAGAGTGGGAGGTGGTGGCGGCTGCCAAGCCCACACCATCCCAAGAGGTGTGGAGCCAAAACTGCTGTTTGTGAGCCTCCCAGCAGCGAACACACACTCGGAACACACTACACACTCAACACACATACACACTCAAAACACACACACTAATGCACACACTTACACACTCAAAACATACTCTCCCACACACTAACACACTCAACACACACACACACACAATCAAAAGGAAGAGTGAAGAGCGTGTAAGGAAGGCCTCTGAGCGGATTCGGAGGCAGAGAAGCACCTAGGGGCCAGCAGCAGCTGGAAGTCATTGCCAGACCAGGCCCTGCCCAGAAGGAGCCCAAAGGAGAGGCTGCCCAAAAGCCATAGGTGGAGGAAAGGGTCCTGGGAGAAGCTGTGGTCTCTGCTGGAGGAGGGCCAGGTGAAGGAAGCAGGAAAATGACGTCCATCCCAGTGACAGCTACATCTGCCCAGGCCACATCAGTCCCCAGAGGTGGGCTCAGCCAGGCCGGTGTTCCCAGCTGCCTGCGCATCCCATGGGTTCCCATCATCAGGGCAGTCTACCCTTCCATCCAATGATTTAACTGCAGTTATACACTCAGGAGAATGATTGTATGTTCTCAATCAGGGACAGTTTGCCATTCAGGAGACATTTGGCTGTATCAGCAGACAGTTTTGATTGTCGTGGTCTGGGCTCTCAACATCTAGTCAGTAGAAGCCAGGGGTGCATACAGTGCTTATCACAGCCTGCCAAGAACCAGCCAGATGTCAGTAGGGCTGAGGTGAGAAGCCAGGTGTGAACAAACTGCCCTGGCCTCTTGGTGCAGGTCTAACCTCGTCACTCCTCCTTCAGTCTGCCCTGGGCCCTTCCATGAACCCTCTGCTCCATCCTCTGGCTGGGGCAGTTCCCAGCCTCTATCTGTTGTCCGTGGGGCTGGCTCTCAGTGATGTCCCCCAGCTTGGCTTCCTCCTAGGTCTGGCAACAACGGCTCCCACCCAGGTTGCAAACCTCCCTTCCACAGCCAAGCCTAGCCTTGTCCTCAACTCTCCTGTCTCACCCCACCCGCCCCTCTTTGATCATCCCCCTCTGCCCTCCTGGCCCAGTACCAGTTCACCTCCCCCATCCTCGGCTGCCTCTCAGTAGTTCACCCAGGTTGGATCCTTCTAAATATGGAACAAAGCAGACTTGTCTAGAGATAGCCAAGGTCATGCTCAAAACTGGGGGTGCTTTCTCTAATTTTGTGCCAGAGGCATTTGCTCCCCTCTGGAGCGCCTCCCTGGAAATACACTCATTTTTATCTCACTGATACTGTGGGTTCTGGAGCTGCTGAGTCTGGTCCAATTCAGGCTCCTTTGGTTGAAGAGCTAGGGCGAGCCTGCCAAAGTGACCTCATCCTGTTGGCCCTGGGGAACTGGAACCTCAGAACAGGAGGAAGCAGCAGCCTGGGAGATGTAGGACTCTTAGGCACTAAGGGAGGGCTGAGCTGAGGAGGCTGGCCCTTTTCTCTGTACCTCCTCCACCCGAGCACAGAACCCCACCTCCCCTGTCACCAGCCCCCTCAGCTCTACCCTGGCTCAGATGCAGCCGAGAAAGGGATCCTGACATGGAGTCAGCTGAGGCCTAGGTGGATCAGGATGTACACACAGCCCTTGTATTGCTCTCTGTCCTTCCCCTACTCAACTCCCAGGAAAGCAAGCAAAGCAGGAGACCCCCAGGACACCAGGCGCAGTCTGCTCTACTTCAGTCTGCCCGAGACCACCGTGCTCCAGGTCCACCTGTCCTACCAGGGCCAGCAGTGCAGAGGGCCAGGACTGGGCTAGGGAGGGGCCCGGCCTTCACTGCAGCCCCACCAGCTCGGTGATGGAGGGAGCATGCACCATGAACTCCTCGTAGTGGCTGAGAAAGAGCTGGAAGCGAGCCAGATAGGAGTCCTCATTATAGGGCAGCTGCTTGTCATGAAGAAACTTCGACACCAAGGGCTTCACCTGAGAGTCACAAAAGGGGAGAGGCCTCTGAGTCGCAGGCCGGCAGCAGGGCGCCCACCTCAGCTCTCCCTTGTCCATCCCTAGCCGTGCTGTGCCAGGAAAGTGAGGGGCTGGGGTACCGGAGAGCTTTGCTTCTACGCCACCCTAGATGGGAGGAATAGCCTCTCCTCTCATTCCCCCCAGACTCTCGACTACATGCCTACCCTCCTCAGCCCATGGGGTGCACAAGGATCTCTCTGCTAGACATCTTCTTTGGGTCAAACATTTCAGATCTAATTTTCATCCTCAAAATCTCAAGATGAACCCTGTTCCTTCCCATCTTACAGACAGGGAAACTGAGGCTCAGTGGACTTGCCCAGAGTCACATTGCTGCTAGGAAACCCAGGTATAAAACTCTGATATAAAACCCATATAGTCATTTGTACTCCAGGCTGCCCTTCCTGGGGGATCTTTGAAGAAGCCCATGAGGGGACTCGGAGTTCAGATGTCCCTGGAGGTTCCCACCACCCACCCTCAGACAGGCCTTTCCTCCCACCCCTCTGCCCGGCCTTCGGCTACCTTCAGGCACATGTGGTCAGAGAGCCAAGGGAAGAGGTGATGCTCCACATGGCAGCTGATGAGTGAGTGGCCGAATGCCCAGTCCAGCACCGGCTGCCGTGGCAGGTTCAGCACCCCCAGGCTCATCATGTGAATTCGCCGGGGCTTCTTGTCCAGGGAGAACATGGGCAATCCGATGTGCTACGATAGACATATGGGTCACACCCTGCAGGGGTTAGACGACCCTGGGTCTGTCTTCACCAAGCATACGGGGGCCAGTGGGACCCTACAGGTGTGACAGACAAGCTCTAGCCTAGCTACAGGGCTAACCCATGCTGCAATGACCTGAATCTTTCTCACATCTGGGCCTCTCCATATTTGGACAATGAAGGCCTATGCATTTTTTTCAGAGCCCTGATATTCAAATGTCTGTGACTCACTGCTTGGTCTTGTGACCCTATAGGCATCACATTGGTGGCTTCTACCTGTGTGTCAAAGCTCAAGTCGAGCAGGTCAAGGGCAGGGCAGGAGATGGTGGGCGTGTGTGTGTGTGTGTGTGTGTGTGTGTGTGTGTGTGTGTGTGTACAGCCAGGAGTTCAGCGTTCAATGTGGCACCATTTTCCCAGGGAGACCTCGCTGCTTCCCTGTGGGTGAAGACCTGTTCGATCTCTCTGCACAACCCCCTGGCACTCAGCACACCGACAGCTAAGCACTCTACCCTCTCAATGTGTCCCATCTATTTGTCTCAGTTCAGCCTAAGTACTGTGTTCCTCCGAGCACCCTAGACCCAGGGTGGTGCCTAGTGGAGAAAGTACTTGTAAGCACTGATTGAACGGAACAGTAGAAGAGGATGTGTAAACATGGCCTTGAGTGATGAGTAGGGTTTAGCCTGGAGAAGCAAGCAGGGAGGGTCTCTCCAGGACCAGGCAAAGGTGTCGCTGAAACCCTGACTTCCTACGGTGACCCACAGTGATGGGGCAGGAATTGGGGAAAGTGTCCTTCGGTGACCGCTCTCTATCTAAACCTTGGCTACACCCTGCCGATGCTCCTCTTCTCCGCCTGTATCCAGGGCTGAGCGCTTACCTGGAAGATGTTGACATGGAGGTAGGGGTGGGCCAGCAGGGATCTGGCGAGCAGCATGCACGCCAGCGCTGAACTGGGGCTCTGGAAGCCCGACACATTCAGGAACAGCCAATACTGAGAATAAAGGCCCAGTGACATGAAGCATAATGTCCGAAGTGCCACCCTCAGCTCTTCCTTCCTCAGACGCTCTGTCAGAGGGACAAGAGGTGATATAAGCAGAAGCCATGGTGAGCTGGCTCCCTGGTAAGAAGGAGTGTTAAGGCAGAGGGCTGCTCTGGGTGTGTCCAGTGAACCCAGACCTTTCACCCTGGCCAAGGTCAGGGTCTGCTCTATAGCCCTGTTCTCCTACCCCTGGGTATTGCCCCGTGATAGCAATGATTAAAGCCTGCAGTGTGCTTTGTATGGAACATCTACAAAGTGCCCCCCCTAAGATTTTATATTATAATTGTGTGCGTGTGCATGTGTGTGTATATGTGTGTAAGTGCTGGTGTCCATGGAAGCCAGAAGTACTGATTGATTCCCTCTGAAGCTGGAGTTACAGGGGATTGTGAGAAGCCCAACACAGATGCTAGAAATTGAAGTCTGGACCTCTGGAATAGCAGGAAGCCCTTGTAACCTCTGAGCCGTCTCTCCAGCCCTTACAAAGTTCCCTGACGTGTGTGCACGCATCCCTTATGTTTGCACACCATCCTTGAGCAGGTGAAGAACCTGAGGC